GGGGCCCCTCTATCCAACATATCCGGCCCGTTTGTTAAGAAGATCCCCCGGTGAATTTTTTAACCTGCCCCTCTCGTTGGTCTATTCATGTTTTATTTTGGATTATAACTGTCTCCTCAAAATGATCATTACTTTAGAAATTGTGAAGCAATATTAAATTATGTGGTCCTTATTAATTAAGGTGAGTTGTCCTTGTCCCAAATATATAACAAATATATCGAGGATTTATACTTACTATCCAACAACACTAGTGGAGACAGGATTTTAAGGACGACGAATTTTTTTTAGGAGAACCGTAAATGCTATATATTATACAAACACATTGTTTGTATATATATATTTCTATGTAAAATAATATAAATTTAAAAAAAGTCGGGGAACCAAGACCCCCGACCCTATACTAGCGAGGGACTCTGACCGTATGCTGACTCCACTACTGCTCACCGAAAACCATACAAATACTTGTGATCAAAAGCCCCTTAACGTGTATGATCAGAATTTAAAAAATCATAATCATACAACATTTTATGGTAGATATATAAACGAACAAAAATCTATGGCAGCCCTACATATTATTTTGTGGGTGTTGATGATATTATAATAATTAAATTATCATTATTAATATTTCAAATCTTGTGAGTGCAAGATCCATTATCTTATGAGCTTGCACAATATATCTTATGATATTAATAGTTTGTTTATTAAACAAATTAATTAATTTTTCCCAATACCTGATCTTGTATACATATTATTCGATAAGATTTTCCTTTTTTTTTAATGGTTATCTCGTACTTTGCCAGGGATATTCATTCGGAATACCATATTGAACCCTACCGAAATTTCGATACTTCGAAAAAGAGTACCGTTTATCGAACCAACTATCGAGTTCGGTACAGTTTTTTACTGAATTAATTCAGTTTATTTGGTTCGGTAACAGTGAAATCGAAAAATATATTTTGATATTTAAAAAACTGTAAAAACTGTAGAAACTATATTTAAACTAATTAATTCTTGAATTAGACATTCAAATCTTAATAATCGGTCCTAAAAACAATAAAAAAAAATATTATCAATAGAAGCCTAATTTGTACATCATGGGGACCACATATCCATCTAAAAATATTTTATATCATGTTATACCTTTCCAGACTTTCACTGACAGATCTTTTTATTACATATCTCGGTATTCTTTACGATATAGTATACCAGAAATCCA